TCGTTGCATTTATCGACTTATTTTAATAAATGTCGTAAGGAATTAAAGTACAATCTAGAAAATATCATTCAAGTATCGTGAATATAATCTATTCAATCATGTAATTGTTTCAATCTTTAAAGCAGCAATATTCATTAATTTCAAATAATCAAGCATTTTCATCAGCGATACTATATTTCTTGTATGTGTGCTGTCAGTGCATGAATGTCTGCGACATCTATTTTATATAGTAGTGCTCTTTTCTTTTCTAATTGTAGATCTGATCATTGGTTTAATCTTGTGACTAATTAAGACTCAGAATCAATAATTGTTTGCTTGGCTATTTTATCGAATTCTGCTGTTAATAATTTATCCAAAAATTTAGAAATTTTTATTGTCGAACATCGAAGACTAGAAATAATTGAACGTAAAGAAATATCAGGTTTGTAAGCTTTTAGTAGACAATCGAGACGAACTAAGTCGACTTCTTGTGGATTTATGCATAATTATTCAAACTAGTTATAGTCCTCAGAGAAGTTTTTTTTGAGAAACATGAAAGAATCGTTTTTGTATGAATTATGCTTTTTTTCTATTTTTCATCCTAACAAATCTCTCTTTTTCTTTTCTCATTCTTCATTTACACTTACATCATCTTTGAATAGACAAGATGCAAGATGAAGAATACATTTTCTATATCCTTCCAATCGTGTATGATATATATATATATAAAAGACGAGATAAGATTCTCTTGTCATAATAATTTAATTAAACTTCTATTTGTTTCCATTAATTGCAACACAAAACTCGTTATCTACTTTAGTAGGATGATATTTAACTTTGTGTTTCTGTGCCAGTGTAAACATAATACATGACGAACCTTTGACGTGCTTATGAAGTAAGTTGATCAAGTGAAATGATCAAGAGTGAGAAAAAATAATGTTTCAAATGATTAGAAGAATTTTATTAGGTTTTCGTGAAATCAATTCTTAAATAAGTTAAGTGACAATTTAAAACATTTCAACCAAAGCTTTAGTATTCAGATTTATCAATTTCTCTAGTTCAATTTTTTTTTATCACATTATGATACAAAATCTGGAAGTAGTTGAATTAATAGAAAATGAAGACGAATTGTTTCTCTCTATTCGAAGTGAATATGATCAACTTTTTTTTTTTAATTCGCGTATAATAAAAGAAATGAATAAAATGAAACTTTCAATGCTTTTTATTATATTCGACGTGAATACAGTGAAACCTCCCATAGATGGGCACCTTTGGGACTATTTGAAATCGCCCACCTTACGGAGGTGCCCGCGTTATAGAGTTTTGTGTATAGATATCGATCCGTAATGTTTCTGCAAGCTACACCATCAAAGGGCACCCATACTTATGTATTGTTAAGCGACCTTTATATCTTTGAGTGTATTCAATATTTTATTCTAAATTATTTGATATCTTATTTTGTCTATGTTTATTTTCTATTTTCGTATTTACAATCAAGCTTTTGAAAAGAAATCAATAATAGAACTTTGCTTGCTAGTTTTTGAATCAATGTAAGCATCAGTCAGTTTCGATTCTAACTCAGTGACGAGTTGATGGAGTTGTGGTTGACGTGTAGATGCGAGCAGATGAAGTTTTCGAATCATTTCAAGAGCTTCAACAAGTGATCAGTGAAGCAATTCAATAATATGGCACGTATTATAAATTATGTGTTGCTCTCAAGAGACTTACCCGGGTGAAAGCCCGATTGCTTCAGCAACATCGCGTGCCTTTTCTTGAATCAAGGGCCCTGAGATTGGAATATTTTTTGCCCTTTGTGCTGCGAACCATGATAAAACAGTTTCATCGATGTTGTGGCTTGACTCATTCTGCAGTTTGCGTTTGACACCTTTGTTTGCATTTGATTGGAAATCCTGCTTGTATTCGTCTTTTCGTTGCAGAATATTATATACAGCACCCTTCGACACCTTGTACTTATCACATAATTTGCGTTGTGATAATCCAGTGCCATCAGCATAGTCGTTGATCAATTCGATCTTCTTATCGAGCGTGAGATAATGACACGTCGTCATTTATTAATGATATTGAAGAGTAATGTCAAATAACATGACAATTTATACTCTTGTTCTCATTGACAAAACGGCGAAAAATGTATCGACGAGTAATTTTCTTTTTTACATCGGACTAACTTTTTTCTTTCCCTTTCTTCGAACAATAAGGTACGACGAGAAAAAGAACAATGTTGAAGAAAATATTCATTCTCTCTGCCCATGTAAGAGAGGTGTAAAAGTACAGAATGGGCTAAAAATCAGTGCCCATGGGCAGAGGTCAGAGGTGCCCTTCTTAGAGAGGTTCATTTACAGCAAAAATCGATCGGTCGTTCCGACGAGTGCCCATATAAGCGAGGTGCCCTTGTTATGGAGGTGCCCATATATAGAGGTTTCACTGTATATATCTATATTATCGCAACTGAGACTAGAGAGCAGCGGGTCCAACTTTTTATGGACCCGGACCCGGGCCCGGGTGATATCAAATTTCTAGACCCGGACCCGGACCCGGTTCTGACATATTCGGACCCGGGCCCGGCCGGGTCCAGACCCGGACCTGGTTGGGTCCAGACCCGTTATGTGTTTTGTCAATATAGAGCCTCTCTGTATATATGAATAATTGAAAACTCATGAATTTAGCTATTTATTGACTGCTCTCAGGGAAAAAATTGATGTACAATTATTTCTTGTTGTTCCCTTGTTTATTATCTAATGCTTAATAAAAAAAAACTGTATTTTTTAACTTAAAAGAACATTTGGTTAAGCAAAAAACAAATTGAAGAATTAATGGATAAACAAAACTCATCATTGAAAATTATCAAATCGATACTAACATCAAAATTTTTAGATATATATGCTTTATATGTAAGTGTAACTAAAACGCATGATCCGCATTCGATTACTTTTTTAAATTTCATTTGTTATTTGTATCTCAAATGACTTTTTAATTATAAAATTAAAGAGAGTCAAGAAGAGTAACACAGAATACAAAAAATATTATACGTTGACCTGAATTCTTCAATGTTTAGATTCTCAGCTGAACTCAGGCCGGGTCTGAAAGAAAATCAATTATGGACCCGGACCCGGGTGCCATCAATTTTCCAGACCCGAACCCGGACCCGGACCCGGGTGCCATCAATTTTCCAGACCCGGGCCCGGACCCGACCGGGTCCGGGTCTGGACGGACCCGCTGCTCTCTAACTGAGACACCTAAAGAAAATATAGAGAAAGACAAAAAAAAATGCAGTGTTTGAGCTTTTTCGAATGATGCTACTCTAGTGAATTGAACTTTTAGTCAATTTTTTTCGATCAATTGATCAATTTTTCTCGAAGTGCTTCGTAATGGTTTTCAAGTTGTGCTAGATGTTCTCCTCATATCAAAACGCAGTCTTATCGATCTAGAAATACGAGATATGGATTACTACAATACGTTTCAGTGAATGCATAAATTTTATTCTTATTTAGGCCACTTGTCAGAGTTGCAACCAGTAATGGTAAATGGCCGATCTGTTCAGATATAGAGTTTCTTACTGGTCGGTAGGATGTTTTTTTTTAAATTTTTGCATGTTTATTCTAAAGAAATGAGTCTAACAGTGTGGCTTCTTCACAAAATAAAACACTCGTTACTAACGTTGAAGGTAGTTTCACTCAGAAAAAGATGGACCAAGCTATTTAATTTAGTCAAAATTAATAATATATTTATCATATTTTATTAATTCATTTTTTTCCATAGCAAGTATATTATTAATACAAAACTGAATAAATGTTTAGCGTTGTAGTTTATCATAGTTTTTTGATTACCTGTGCTATTTTTAGGACATATCTTTTACGGACACAAAACATGAAAAAAAATGAGTTTGGCTGAGAAGTAAATTAAATATAAAACTGAATGATAACATGAATATTTCAAGAAGAGTTATTGAGAGCAGAAAACTGATATCGGTTTATCCTAAAAATACTACAATATCATTATGGATACGATGAGAACGCAGTAGTGACTTATAGAGGAATTGATTTGACTTTTATAAGGTCAGAAAGATAGATAATGACTCATGTCTATATCCCAGGTGGTTCAACAGGGAAGATGAATTGGAAAGTTCTTCGAGTGTCCTTCGTTTATCTGGTTTTTTTCCATTGTCTTATTCTAGTGATTATACCGAAGTAGAATTTGCTACCTACCGGTAACACATGTTCAGTCTATTTACTCATCAAATCGATCTACCAGAAAGTGACTGGGATTTGCTTTTGTTTTCTTTTTCAGATTAACCTATACTTGGGATGAAAATCGTGATCATTGGTGGTGGACTGGCAGGATTTGCTGTCGGAATCGGATTATTACAGCATGGATACACAGATGTTACAGTGTACGAACGAGACGCAGGAATGGACAGTAGACGTCAAGGCTATGGATTGACAATTCTTCAAGGAATTAGTGCACTAAAACGCTTACAAGTATTCCAACAAGTACACTCGCTAGATACTCCGTCAAGATCACACTACATTTTTGATAAATATGGAAGTATGATCGGTTTTTTTGGAACTGTATTTTGGCCAGAACAGGACAATCAGCCAAAAGCTAGAAAGAGACACAATTTACATATTGAAAGACAGGAATTACGAAGGATCCTCATGAACAGATATATTTCTTTGCATCCGCTTGGTCCTCAAGGTATCCAATGGAATTATCGTGTAGCCACGATTGACCGTGTCTCATGCAAAGTTTCATTTACCAACGATCATACAATAACTGGTGTTGATTTAGTTATTGGGGCCGATGGAATCAACGGTTTAGTACGTTCTTTCAAGTATGATCCTCTTGTAGATACTTCACTCAATTATTTGGGTATATTGGTGGTATTGGGAATTACTGGACACATCAATCATTTCCTTACAAGGGACCGTGTATTTCAAACTATGGATGGATGCTTTAGACTTTTTGCTATGCCATTTTCGAAATCCAGACCAGAACAATCCATTATGTGGCAACTTTCCTTTCCTGCGACTCAAACCTTAGCAACTCAATTATCACAAGATACACGGACATTGAAACAGATGCTGCTCGAAAAGTGTGCTGATTGGCATTCACCAATACCTGAAATGATCGAAAGAACACAACTCGATCTGCTTATGGGAATACCAGCATTTGATAGAGATCCAGTGCCGATTTCAGAACCAAAATTGAACGGTATTCAGATTGCACTTGTCGGTGATGCTGCTCATCCAATGTCTCCTTTCAAAGGTCAAGGTGCCAATCAAGCCCTACTGGATGCTGTTGAACTAGTAGACATTATCGCACAGAACAATCAAGATTTACATTCATCAATCAGCCAATATGAAGATCGAATGCTACAACGTGTCTACACAAAGGTTATGCAGTCCCGAGAACGTGTTACAAGCTTTCATAGACCAGAAGCACTTTCAACAGAGAATTTTCTATATCGTGGTGTTGATGAAGGATTCATAAAAAGACTGAATAGCCTAAAAATAAATACCCATTGGAATGATCCAAAAGTATCCATCGAACAAGCCATAATTGACCAAATAAATGGTAAATTAAAAACTGTTTTTATTTATGTTACTTAGCTTATACTCCGAAAAAACAAGGTACCATACGAAGCTTGAAAAGAGTTTCGTATATGGTACATTAAATTTCATTGACAAATAGAATTTGACAATGTTTGAAAAGATCTCTAAAGTATATCCTAGGATAAAATGCCTCAAGATAGAGAGAAATAGCCGTTTAGTTACTATGAGTTTTCCTGCTATGAATCAACTAGATCATCTCGAGTGTAAAATTTCGCTTCGACAGGTAAGTGTGATAATGACCTTATATTATTAAACGCAAACTATTCGCAAAAAATATCTTGAATGATGTTCATCGTACCTTGACGATCCACAAAAGGGTAGACCGACAGTTGAGCCTGTGACGAATGGCCTTGACATTTGAGCTTGGTAACGTTTATGCCTCAAAACATTATCAAGATAATGATCTTTATATACTTTGTTAGAAAAGAAACAGAAGTTAAAGAAGGTTGTCGTCTCTCGAAATACTTCTGTCTCGTACATCGTTGCAGATCATTAATTAAGTGTTATAATTGTTCTTACGTTTTTTCGTATAAGAATCATTTTCTAAACTTACAGTTCCAATTTCCATTTTTTCAGTAGAAGTCGAATTATTACGTACTTCTGTTAAAAGATCCTTTTTATTCATATGCAAAGGCTACAGCACTGATTCTTGTTTCCACTGAGCAACAGGAAAATTGGAAGCTGGTAGTTTTGAATTAAGTAAACGTCTCTTCTATGAAAAAATAAATGAGCAACTACAACACGTAATGAATAATTTGCAACAATGTACAAGACAAAAGTAGTTAGAGAGACGAATGCTTTATTTAATCTGTAGTTTTTTTTCTAATAAATTTTATAAAGATCATTATTTTTTACTTTGATAATCTGTTCAGGCTCAAATATCAAAACTCAGGTATCGCATCACCTGTATCTGGGTGCACTCGAAATAGCTCATTTGAATAAGAGAAATCGTAATAGACATCAATTTTGTCATCAAACTATGAACAGTTTTATGAATCATTTCTATACTTCAGGTTAAACAATGACCACTACTGCCACAAACACAGTTCTCAATACGACGACCATTTCATCGACCAAAGACACATCTAACAACTGAACACATATATGGAGACTATCTATGTAATCATGAACACATGTCAAATATTATCTTACACTGCTTCAATCATATTTCGGTACTATTTTCTTTTGTTACCAAAAGATTTGAAAATAAAACACTCAGTTTTCATGTCATTTTCATTATACTTATAGTTAATTGAGTTCAGTTATATTATTCTTTCTCGATACTTTTTCACATTTGTATACACGAATTGTTTTTCTATCGACCATTACAAAATGTCTTAGTTGAACATTCATCGATTCATTTACTTATTATTCTAGTTTGTTTCGTATGACTTGAGCATCATCGGAACGACATTTATCTATTGATTACTCGAATGTATTCAATAGAAAATGAGAACGAATTTGTTTTCACTATCTATCAACGACTATCATCTGTCCGTATATATTCGTTTAGTATTTCTCTGTCGACTTCCTTTATCCTTACAACAAAACACTAAAATTTTGTTTAATTTCTCTTCTATATGGTATGGATTTGATAGCTCATCAAGATCTTCCATTAGTTCTCATCACACTCTTTCATCTTACACTGTTTGTACGAGTTATACTTTCTCGACATCGACTACGCCAAACGATTGGATTACAGAAATATTGAAAAATCAGCATACAACTACAGACCATATCCACTGTCTATCTCCTCCTTTGTAAACCATCTTCATTGGATGGGTGTGGGTGTGCGGGTCTCATGTCTTCATCCACCCACACACCCAAACCCCTAAGGCGCTGTAAATCAGTTCAGACGAGATCTACTCAACGCTGGCTGTTGATCAGTCATTTTGATCCTAAAATAATAGGCTTGATTCACAGGTAGCTATGCTTGTCAGATGTGAGTAAAGAACCAACTGAGGCGAAATATTTTGCTAGAGCAGCATATGCTGTAAGACCGATCTAAGAAGTCTTGACGAAATTTTATTAGCGACCTCGAGTATTGGAAGGAGTCTGGAGGAAGAAAATGGTGACAGAGAAGTGCAATACCCACCACGACACCAACCACCGCCGCTGATACCCACAACTACATCCATTTTGAGAGTGGTGGAGACCTAATGCGAATTTCACGACTCAGTTTATCTCTGCATAACTATTTTCCTAATAGCAGGATTTCAATCAAACCAAAATCGAAGTACGGGAATAAGACGGGAGCTTCGCAGTGCTGAGTGCCCTCACTTCTATTTAGTGCATGAAATTCTGTATTTTTAGGTTGAGCTCAGCTTCTGTAAATACTTTGTGCCATGAGTCGATGGCAACATCTTTGATGAAAATTGGAAAAACAAGCGACATAAGGAAAAAGCAAGTACTGCTGGAATCGAAGTCAACGTGCATTTCATTCCTAAGCCGAACACAGAATCCGCTTTGGCTTTTCTTAGATCGTCCTTCGGTCAGCGCTCAAAGAACAGCGAAACTTTTCGAATCGTTACCGACATGAATCGATATAATGAAGAGCTGTGCGATAATGCAGGTGCTCTCTTTCTTGCAAGCATTCAAGAAATCGGTTTCAATAACGAATGCCTTATTTTCACAGGACATGTCGAAGATACCGAGATAGAAGTGAAACAACTTATCAAGAGCGACAAACAACGGCATAGAATTCATTGAAAATTTCAGAGGCTTCAAAGTCAATATATAATCCTAGTTGATAAAGAAACGATGTTGCCCACTTTTCAATCATTTCGAGTCATTTTCTTCGAGCACCATTATTAGAGTTTCTTGTCCTCATTCTTTTGTACCATCCTACTACAAGCGTCCCTTTTCTGGTGTGGGGTGTGGATGTCGGCGTAGGTGTCGGGGGTGGGTGACTGTGACTAGGGTGTAGATCTGAGCGTTGAGTATCTTCGTTTTTTATACACTCCCCACATTCACATCCATACCACACCAACGCCCCAACCCCACACTCGCACCCACATCCACATTCACATGTCCACACCCCACACCCTTTTAAAAAAAGCAATCATTTTAAAAAGACAATATCTTTTGTTCATTTATGATTTAACAATACTTGAATCCACACTAAGTTTTTCAGCTCTCAATAGCGCTGTTTCACTTTTAGAAGTGATCACAGGAATAAAAAGTACAGATATGATTTGGATATCTCCTGGATTTGTCAAACGCCATTCGATTGCATTGATATCATCATCTTGATGAGCCACATAACCTGGTACAGTACTTGGATAAGCCTTGAATGAACCACTTTTTACACTACACTGCAACACAGGTATAAGACATTCATCCTTATATGTAAATGTAACTGCATATACTGGATCTGAACAATAATGTATACTTGGTGTAACAAATATTCCATTTGAAAAATCGTGAACATCAAAAGCTGTTGTTCCTCTCGCAATATGATTTGTTGGCGGACAAATACGTAATCCAATAGAGACTACCGTACTTGGCATAACAAGTCCATCCATAAGAATTGATTCAATAGCTTTTATACTTGTTCCATGATATGCAATATGAGGGAAATCTTTTTTATTGTGTTCACGAATTTTTAAATAGTAACAAGAAATAGGTTCACTACGAATTTCAAATGGCTTTCCATCAGCCGTCGAAATGAACATATCGGGCGGAAGACATAATAGAGAAGGAATTATATCAATATGACGAACAAAAGCATGTGTTTGACCTATTGAAACTAAACGTGTTTGTCGTGTTCTGTAAGAAAACCAATAAGCTGATGGTTGTATCCAATTATATAGTAACGCATTTGGTTCACTAGTAAATAAAACTGTTGGCATATCATTTAACTTTGTGCTTCCATCTTGATATTTTGTTTTGAAAAGACAAATACATTGTGACAAATTAAATAAATTAAAATCTGGTGATATTATGTAATCAATAACAATAGAAAGATTTTCATTAGCACAATTCGGTGGAAATGTAAATGATAAATTCTCAAATGTAAATGTTTGATTGTCATTCAATTGACCACGAATTTTCATTGATGAAGTTCGGCATTTGGAAGCAAATTTACGATAGATATCGCGCATAGAATAATTAGGAAGTTCGTCACGTAGAATATGACCACTATGTGTATAACGGGCTTTTTCATGTGCTGTTATACATAATGGTAATTGAACAAATTTCGTTCTATCATATCGAGCACGACATATTGCCGATAGAATTGTTGTATCATTTTTATCAAAATTTAATGGACGCCGAGCAATAGAAAAGTTTGGATATTTATTTCGTATTGAATCAGGCATTGCATTTATAAGATCATTATAAGTGGCATCACAATTTAATTGTAATTTTGCTAATGGTTCATCACCAGTCTTTTTACCATCACTATATAAGTGTATCGAGAAAAATTTATTTTCTTCTAAATTAGTACGATATCGTTTTAAATATTGTTTCATTTCATCCGTTCGTGATTCATCAATAGGAGTCGAGCCAAATACATTCTTTATATTTAAATCAGCTCCATAACTTAGTAATAAGTCAACTGTTGAAATATGTCCATGATAGACGGCACCATGTAATGGTGTACTTTCTGATTCTTGTAAAAGTTTAATATTAACATTAGCTCCTCTTTCTAAAAGCCATTTTGCAACTGATGTTTGACCACGACGGCATGCAATATATAATAAATTTATGCCATTATCATTCATTATATTCGGTGATTTATCATCAAAATAATATTCAAACCACCATTCGATACCATTAGCAGACATTTCAAACATATTTTTTTCACGCATCGATTGAAACAGATTCGTTATAGATTTTCCATGAATAAAGCCTTCCTGTTCAGCTGTCAAACACCATTTATTAAGTAAAAGTGGATTAGCACCTTGCTTTAAAAGATATTCTACAACTAATTTATGTCCACCATAGGCAGCAAGATGTAAAGCTGAATTTAAACTGATATCAATAATATCTAGATTAGCTGAGCGTTCTTCAATTAACCAACGAACAAGATCTAGATAACCTTTCTTACTAGCACAGTGAAGTAATGTTTGTCGTTGTACATAATACTGTTCATCAATATGCTGCGTCATATTATTTATATTATCCTTAAACCAATCAAGTTGATTTGCAGCTGCTTGTACAAATGGTGTCTTTTTCAAATCGGTAAATATTTTTATTACATCAGCATCATACGACTCATTTTCAGCTGTACTATTATCAGAATTTTTTTTTCGATAATCCGCTCCACATTCTAATAGACAACGAACTATTTCTGGATGTCCATAAAAAGCACTTACATGCAGAGCTGTACTTCCTGTTCTCTGTGCTAAGTCAGGTTCAGCTCCTTGCTCTATTAAATAAAGGACAGCTTCTAGATTACAAGCACGTGCTGCACAATAGAGGGTTGTATGTCCTGTTTGTGGATCTTGTGCATTTATGTCTCTTAATGTTGTATTTTGTAAACGAATTTTTAATTCTTTTGCAAGTTCAGGTTCAGCAGCTAATTGTTGTAATGTATAATTTTCTAGAGGTAGATTTCTTATCCATTCTCCATTTTGATCAAATTTGTTACGTTTATCATGATCAGATAATGTTTCATAAGCGCGACAAATAAGTCGAAATTGTTCAGCTGTAATTTTACGATTTCCAGATGTTCGAAGTCGATCTTTTCTATATTCTCGAATTCGTATACGATATGCTTTAGAGAAATTAGAGCTTCTATCAGTTTGTTTTACTCCAAGAATATCATAGGGTGTTGACGCTGATGCTTCCATACCTTTTATTAATTTTTGTAAGATATTGCCGCAAAACAAGCACTGTTCTTTATTTAAAAAAAACACCAAAGCCTTGAATGAAAACGTGTTTTGTGCTTCATAATTCAACTTTTTTTTCTTGTTCTTCAACTTCCTTGGAATTTTTCAATCATTATTTACAGTAAGTGTTTGTACGAGAAAGCTTCGAAAATATTAAACGTATTCTGTAAATAGCTTCAAAATATCAGAAATTGCACAATTTCTGCACTGATTATTTTTCTTTGTTCTAAAAAATTTTCGCTTTCATGTAAATTAGCAGAGAGAGAGCCGACATTCGATAACTCTTATGCTTACTGACAAAATTTAAAAGCTGCAATTTTTCTTTTTATCTAAGCATAGTTTTTTCAAAATTTATGTCTATTGAGCTTTTGCTTTAAGATTCAAGTATCCTCAAAATAAAAAAAACACAATCTACAATCTTTTGAGTTTAAATTCACAGTGCTACTAATTTATATATTTTCGTTCAAATTTTAATGCATTTTTAGATATGCGTTAAAATAACTTTCTTGTTTACAAAAGATACAAGTAACGCAGCGCAAACGCTGCTAACGCTCTACTGAAAGGATGAGTTGCACTGAAGATAGGATATTAAAAGTACTAGATATGGAAAATGATTCGTTGGCACCACGTTAAGGAGCGGAATGAAACGAACCATTATTCTTCACGAGTTGAAAATGTAGATTCCCATATTCGGTAATCCCTACGTAAATTGCATATTCTAACCATGTTAAAAATATGCTTTATATCCACATGATATCATCAACATTCTCTGTACTCGCTTTGCCCAGCTAAATATTCTTATAGCATTATCTATAGTCTGATCAAAGTGTTAGTATCGCGTTCCCTAGTTTCAAAATGTCTGAAATTTGAAACCAAGCGATTGAAAGTGACAAAAAGTCCTGTATTAATGCCTGAAAATGGCAATATGCCGGTAACAAGATGAGTATCAAGATTCCTGGCTCCATCGAAGCCATTTTTGTTACTTTTATTTCATGAAAAGCTTGTTAGCGCAGCTCCTTTAAGGCTGAAATATAGAACTCATATATACTATCTAGCCTAATTAAACTAATACATAACACATAAAGTGATAAATCTCTCGTAGATTATAGGTGCTTGCAAGATAATTGATATGCAGAGTAATGACTTCTCTAATTTCTGTATTTCGAAAAGAATTTTCATTTTTTAAAATTCATTTTTTCTTAATTTAACATTCTTATTATTATAATCATTGAATTAATTGACAAATATGTCTGTTTTACATATTCATGATATCTACAGCAGGTCTCAGGCACTATTATTTATATTAATCAACTCACAAATAGTAATATTTATTATTTTTCAAAATTATAACTTGATCAATTTTGCAACAAAATCTAAAAAGTGTGACCCCTGTTATTGTTCATTGCTA